TTAACATTTCTGTCATGATCCCAGCAGTTCCAACTGCTTTATCCCCTTTCATTCTATGTAATGCCTCACGCACCTTCCCCACACTCAAAACCTGCTCTTTTTCACTCCTAATAGATGCTAAAGCTCCCTGGCCAGTGAATGGAATTGCTGCCTCCCTTTCTTCATCAACATTTAAAAGTTCCTCAAAATATCCCCACCATCTACTCAGTACCTCCAACTCCCCATCTACTAATTCCTCTACTCTGTTTTAAACTGACAAATCCATTCATTCCCTAGGCTTTCTTAACCTGTTTATCTCACTCCAAAATTTTATCTTATTCTCAGCAAAATTCTTTGACAGTGCCTCACCCACTCTATCATTTGCTTTCCTTTTGCACTCTCTCACCACTCTCTTCACCTTTCTTTTACTCTCCATACACTATGCCCTTCTTATATCACTTCTGCTTTGTAAAAGCCCCTCACAAGTAACCTTTTTCTCTTTCATCGCACCCTTTATTTATTTATTTATTTATTTTATGTCTTTGCAAACAGTACATTGAGATTTTGTATTTACAATAGTGGGTTGCAGTGCAAAGAGAGCCTCTATTATGCCTAGGCATTATGGACTAACTTAACACTACTGTCTTACAGTCTACTTAATACTAAGGAGTATATCATAGTTGTACAGTAGTATAGTAATTATTTCATAGTTGTACAGTAGAATATTAATTATAAATGAATCAAAATTTGTATAATACAAGGATGTATTTATATTCAAAAATGCTTTTTGTGAAAACAATGATTCAATTATATTCCTGTCAACAATGGATAAAAGGTTCAATGTGATTGTTTCAGTTATGATGTGGGAGTACAGTGGACCCCCGCTGAACGATCACCTCCAAATGCGACCAATTATGTAAGTGTATTTATGTAAGTGCGTTTGTACGTGTATGTTTGGGGGTCTGAAATGGACTAATCTACTTCACAATATTCCTTATGGGAAAAAATTCGGTCAGTACTGGCACCTGAACATACTACTGGAATGAAAAAAGTTCGTTAACCGGGGGTCCACTGTACATAGGTGAGTAAGTGTGTACTGAGTATTTAGCATTTAGTCTAGGGTGATTAAGTGGCTTTAGAGAAGTCTTAAATTGATTTTCAGACTGGGTTACTTAATATATTCTGGTAATGAATTCCATATTTTGGGGCCCTTTATGTACATAGAGTTTTTACACAGTGTGATATGGACACGAGGTATATCAAAAAGAGATCTGTGTCTTGTGCTGTGGTCATGTTTCCTGTTTAGGTTGGTGAGGAGAAGTTTGAATGGGGGGTTTATATTTTTGTGTATTGTTCTGTGTATGTAGTAGGCACATGAATAAGTATGGATGTTCTTAACGGTGAGCAGATTCAGACTTTTGAAAATTGGTGGAGTATGCTGGCGGGAGTGGGAATTTGTTATCATTCTTACTGCTGCCTTTTGCTGGGTTATTAGTGGTTTTAGATGATTGGATGTTGATGATCCCCATGCACAAATTCCGTATGCAAGATAAAGGTATACGAGTGAATGGTACAGTGCCAGGAGAGCTGACCGTGGAGATTAGTACCATCTCTTTGATAGTATGCCTAAAGTCTTGGAGATTTTCTTGGTGATTCGTTGTATGTGTCCGGAACTTAAGGCTACTATCAAGGTGGATACCTAGGAATTTTCCCTCTGAGAGTCTTGTGACTGATGATCCATTTAGCGTTATGTTAACTGGATCATTTGCAGCTTTGTTTCCAAACTGAATGAAATAGGTTTTATCAGTGTTCATGGTAAGTTTGTTAGTCATCATCCAGGCAGATATTTTCTGTAATTCAGCATTGACTGTGTTTGCTAGTATCATATGTCATTAAGACCTGGTAACATAGTGATTACTGACAATGATGGTCCAAGGACTCAATGGCCTCTTGGAAAAATAGTGACCATACATCCTGAAGCAAATGGAACCATCAGGACAGTTGATGTTTTGAGCAAAGGTGTAGTGAATATGTAGACAATAGATAAACTAGTGCCGTTAGAATTACACAGTGCTGAAAACAAACACAGTGATTCTCCAGAAACTCCACAGATTAAAGCTGTGGTGGCAAGTGAGAAAATCAAATTAATGTTAAGAGATGAATAGCTCACTTGCGGCAAACTTTCACCTGCCCCCCAGTGTGGAGAAAATTTCTCCAGAAAGGGGATTTCAGCCCTTTCAGACCCTTCAGCTCCCTGAGGGACTCAACCCTGAAGAGGGGCTGAGAGACTCTCTTGCTTCCGCATGATCAGTAATTGAATCCACAAGCAGTACCAGCGTGTACAAGATCACAGTCACGCCACCTCTCCTTGCACCTTCTTGCACCATAGTGTTCGTGTAATACGATTAATGGTGAAATGAGGAAAAGGACTCTCTAAACCTTGGTGAAAAAATTACAAGAAAACCCTGCATCACTTTACTTACAATGTGGGACAATAATGAACTGTCGTCAATAGATAACAAGAAATCTGCTATCTTGTATTGAATACTGTGATGGTGTTTAGCAAGGAAGGGAAATAACCCTGAGTTCAGTAAATACCTTGTAGAGATGCCCGAAGTGCACTGGAGGGCTCAGATTGACTTCAGAAACAAACGGGGAAACACGTGTCATGTGGGCATAGCCCCTGAACAAAGGAACAATAATGCAGTGTGCTCTTGACCTTTTTGACAATCTCAACAATTCATGGTAGAACACAGTGAATTGTGATCTTCCTATTGAGAAATTGCCACAAAACTAAAGACAAATCTTGGACTAAACTTTGTAGTGTAATCATGAGAATGTAAGCAGAACAATCCCAGTGGAAGGCAGTGTGGCATTCCTTGAGAAACTCCAGCTCCAAGCAAGACACCCATATCGGGATCACAGTTTTCCTACCATAAGTCAGGGAAAACTTTCAGGTCTGATACAAATACCCAGGTAAGTCTAGACATACCTACTCCTAGTTAGGTTGGCTGCAGCTGATAGTTAGGGACAAGCCTTGCCTAGATGTACCAATAGATCCTGTAATGGGTGGGCCATCGAGCCCAAAAAAGTGAGTATCACTCCATTCAGCATTACGTTCAAGTGTAAGATGCTGAAATATACGTTCATTTGGGGCAATTATTTACCCATCATTTGAATTCCCACACCTCAGGGATGGAGTACAGATGGCTCCTCAAAGGAACAACCCGGGGGTAGCTGAGGGACGCTGAGCAGCCACTGAAGCTAAGTATCTTTCAACAATGTCCTTTACCTGATTTGGCTTGGTATGTTTCAGATCCCTTACATTGATTGTCTCATCCCCTCCTGTTCAGGCCTTGCTTGGCTTCTACCTCAACTAATCTGACACATGACTGTCTTCCTTTTTCTCTCTCTCACTCATGACTTGATAATGACCCAGGACAGACCATAAGTCAAAAATTTTCTTTCCAATTTGATGTTAGTTGTAAAAAACTCACTCCAGTATTAGAAATGTAATTGTATTCATAGTAAAAGCTAATACTCCAAGGAATGCATGGCATTAAGTTTGGTCTTCTAGCATATTTCCTATATCATCAGAGGACACAATCTACTCTTAACCGATACAGTATACTTAAGTTCTCTCTCAACATTTGTTCTATATAGACTTGTAGAAATATGTTTTGAGTTTACAAATTATTTGGTGCTGTATATTACAGTACCTATATTCACTTCATTAGCAAATTCTAAGTAATAAGAGAAGGGCCAAGGCCTCACATCCATGTTATTCCAGTGAGCCACATTAATGTATACTGCACCACTTATATTTACTAATATCATCTTTCCCTTCTAATATTTACTCTGATTAGTTTCTCTTGAGAGTACCATCTTACATCAAAAAGCTTTCCTTTTTTTTTTTGTTTAAATTGTAATAATTTAATTTGAACTGAAGATTTCTCCATCTCTTTAAGTAAATACTAGCTCTAGTATTAGTGTTGTGTTCCTTTCTATCAATGAAGTTACCTCTTTAACATGCTGATCAACAAAATGTCATCATAAAACAAGAATATTGGAGCACTTTAGTAGGCCTACTGGCACATGATATTTTTAAAGCTACAAAGAGTTCTTGCTTCAATGATGATACTTAGAAATTTGTTCCATGCTATAACTCTATTACCAAACCAGTGTTTCCTATATTCATTCTAAATCTAGATCTGTCCCAAAAGTAAGATAGTTTGACAGTAACTGGCTGATCATTATCTATCAGAAGCACTATACTTGACAATAACATCCTTATGGTGATCAATTTTGAAGATGCACTATATGTGATGTCAAGAATAAGTGTTTCTCTATGTAGTAATTACATGACAAGCATTTTTATAAAGCACCATTTTGACTAACAATCCTACTAACATAAATTTGTATATATTTCTAGGGAAATATCCAGCGGTAATTCCAAACTACAATTTCCAGCCATACAATCTTTTATCACCTACACACAAATAATTAATTTAAAAATCTTAAGAATAATACAAAATTAATTCCTTCACTTTATTCCACCTGGATGTTTAAGTGTCTTAATGTTTATACATCACACAGCTTGCAGAAACTACTGTTATATTTACATCTGGAGGTAGAGGGTCAACTTGTTTACAATGATTTTGTAAATCATACAATTAAAATTCTGTGGTGATGCAGAGTTGTAATCACTTTTGGCTGAAAAGAACATAACAATGTTCAAAATTCAATGCATCACCACAACTGTCAAGTAATGCATTGAGCAATTAACCACACACTATATTCATGCTTATTTTCTTTCCCAATTTTAAGATTATAATTTATCGACCATTTATTCTGAGTGTTACCTTGTTTCACCTTTTTGTTTCATTTTTAATAAAATGTCCTTATGATTATAATCATCACATGCATTTTATTTGCTTTGCCCAATAACATGTTTAAAATACTGACTGATTTATTGCCATATACTGTATTATTCTTTGTTGCCTTTTTTTATATATACAAACCAGCTTTACTCATCTTCCTCCTCTTCATCTTCATCCATTTCTTCTTCACTTGTCACATCTGGGTCTCCAGTTTGTTCCTCACATTTGGTACAACGGCAGGTGAAGAGGTAGTTTTCCCTGAAAGAAATGGATTACAATATTCCATACATACTAAACACAGTATTTTGACTTAAGAATTTATTATCTTCGAATTATTTCTTTATTTTTTTTAATATGCATGCTATTTTACAATTTAAGTTTGTCTAGAATCTATGATTTTAATACTTTCAAGGTAACCATATATAGAAGATTCCATTTCATTTCACCCAGTGACAATTTCTTCACCTTGAAATGTACTGTACTATGCAGCAGCACACATTATAAAATATTTGCATATGAATACTGTATAATTTGACTATTGAGCTATTTTTTTTTTTAACATTTGGCTGTCTCCCACTGAGGCAGGGTGACCCAAAAAGTAAGAAAATTCCCAAAAAGAAATCGCTTTCATCATCATTCAATACTTTTACCTCACTCATACATAATCACTGTTTTTGCAGAGGTGCCCCGAACACAACAGTTTAGAAGCATATACGTATAAAGATACACAACATATCCCTCCAAACTGCCAATATCCCAAACCCCTCCTTTAACCCTTTGACTGTTTATGCCGTATAAATACATCTTACGCGCCACTGTTTCTGACGTATATATACTCAATAATTCTAGCGGCTTCAAATCAAGCGGGAGAAAGCTGGTAGGCCCACATGTGAGAGAATGGGTCTGTGTGGTCAGTGGACCTGGAGTTTACCTGGAGAGGGTTTCGGGGGTCAACACCCCCGTGGCCTGGTCTGAGACCAGGCCTCATGGTGGATCAGGGTCTGATCAACCAGGCTGTTACTGCTGGCTGCACGCAAGCTGACGTACAAACCACAGCCCGGTTGGTCAGGTACTGACTTTAGGTGCCTGTCCAGTGCCTTCTTGAAGACAGCCAGGGGTCTATTGGTAAGCCTCCTTATGTATGCTGGGAGGCAATTGAACAGTCTTGGGCCCCGGACACTTATTGTGTTGTCTCTCAGTGTACTCGTGGCACCCCTGCTTTTCATCGGAGAATGTTGCATCTCCTGCCGAGTCTTTTGCTTTCATATGGAGTGATTTTCATGTGCAAGTTTGGTACCAATCCCTCCAGGACCTTCCAAGTGTATATTAGTGAGTGATTTTTGTGTGCAATTTCGGTACTAGTTCCTCTAGGATTTTCCAGGTGTACATAATCATGTATCTCTCCCGCCTGTGTTCCAGGGAGTACAGGTTCAGGAACTTCAAGCGCTACTGTCAATTTCTCAAGCCCTGTATTGGATTGATAAAACTCTGCCAGCAAAACGTTTCCTTTAATAATAAATGTTCCAATGTCACATGAGTGTTATTTACATAGTAACATGGTATAAACCTTGGTAATAAATACCAACATGGTGGTTTAGAAAAAGACATAGGCAAACACTAGGACATATTTATTATAAATAAATATTTTTTTTTTTAACAAGTCGGCCGTCTCCCACCGAGGCAGGGTGGCACAAAAAGAAAGAAAATCCCCAAAAAGAAAATATTATCATCATCATTCCAAATAGGTGAATACAGTCATTGAATGAGTGATGGTGAGAGCGTTTCCTCTTTTTAGGGTCACTATTTCAATGGAAAACATTTGGCAAGTAAAAAAATACCAGTGTGTGGTAAAGTAAAAGCACATTAAAGAGTTCCCGGACTTTAAATTCCCTCCATCAATTCTCTCTAATTTTAAATTATAAAATTAAGCCATTTTAAAATTTTAGTGGATTTTCTTACACTAATATCCCTGCTTAACTGTAAAACTGAAAATGTCTTAAAAGGACAAAAAATATTTACACCTTTACACATAAATTCATGAATTCATGCACAAAAATGTCAAAACCATGACTAAAGGAAACTACCACAATGCAAACATCATAGCTAAGATAAGTAAGATTACGAAACTAACTTACTTATGTGTGCACCACATAAAAAAAATCCTGCAGCACACAGCACACAGTGCGTAATGAGAAAAAAAAAACTGATCGTTTTTTTGGATTAAAACGCCGACTTTGAGGTGTATTTTCGTATAGTATTTATCGTTGTATTCGCATTTTCATGGTCTTAGGTGATAAAATGGAAAACTTATTACAGAAATAGAGATGATTTTCATTACTTTGACGATGAAAACGACCTTGAAACTGAGCTCAAAGTAGCGAAAATGTTCGATTTTTACCAATGTTCAGGAGTAAACAAATCACACCACACATCCAATACACTTCAACTGGGGAGTCTAATATTCTTTCACAAGTGCACTGATATTATTTATACCATTTTTACAATAATGCAGTAGTCTGCATAACAGTAAATTTTGTATTTTTTTGTATAAATAAAAAATCAAAATAGAAAGCAATAATAATATAAGAGGGGCCTAGAGATGTGACTAATGAACAGAGGATATGTTATTTTAGTGCCAAGAATGTCTACCTTGTTTATTCTGGACCCTATTTTGAAATTGGCATCTTTTTTAGTTTGCGTGAAATTGGCCAAATTGCCAATTTCTGACCACCATATTGGGTAGTTCAAATTGGTAAATGGGCAGTTTCTTGTACTCAGCTGATAGATAAAATGGAGTTCTAAAGAAATAGCTATGAGTTTGGTCAACTGGAACAATGGAATTGGCTGAAAACGGCTCAAAGTTGGCGAAATCGCAGATACGCATATGTCGCCGAGACCGCTAACTTCGCGGGAGCGTAATTCCGTGAGTTTTCGACCAAATTTCAAACTTTTGGCGTCATTGGCATCGGGAAAAGATTCTCTATCATTTCATAAGAAAAAATCATTTTTTTTTTTTTTTCAAAAATTTATCGACATAGAATGACAGTTTCAGAAAGGGGCCTGCGACAGTCAAAGGGTTAAAGTGCAGGCATTGTACTTCCCATTTCCAGGACTCAAGTCTGGCTATATAAAAATAACAGGTTGCCCTGAATCCCTTCAATAAATATTACCCTGCTCACACTCCAACAGCTTTTCAGGTCCCAAATACCATTCGTCTCCATTCACTCCTATCTAACACGCATCCTATCTAACATGCATGCTTGCTGGAAGTCCAAGCCCCTCGCCCACAAAACCTCCTTCACCCCCTCCCTCCAACCTTTTCGAGGATGACCCCTACCCCGCCTTCCTTCCCCTACAGATTTATACGCTCTCCATGTCATTCTACTTTGATCCATTCTCTCTAAATGACCAAACCACCTCAACAACCCCTCATCAGCCCTCTAATACTTTTATTAACTCCACACCTTCTCCTAATTTCCACATTCCGAATTCTCTGCATAATATTTACACCACACATTGCTGTTAGACAGAACATCCCCACCGCCTCCAACCATCGAGGACATCTCCACCGCCTCCAACCGTCGAGGACATCTCCACCACCTCCAACCGCCTCCTCGCCGCTGCATTTACAACCCAACTTTCACACCCATATAAGTGTTGGTACCACTGTACTTTCATACATTCTCTTCTTTGCCTCCATAGATGTTTTTTGTCTCCACATATACCTCAATGCACTACTCACCTTTTTTCCTTCATCAATTCTATGGTTAACCTCATCCTTCATACATCCATCTGCTGACATGTCAACTACCAAATATCTGAAAACATTCACTTCTTCCATACTCCTCTTCTCCAATTTGATATCGAATTTTTCTTTATCTAAATCATTTGATACCCTCATCACCTTACTCTTTTCTATGTTCACTTTCAACTTTCTACCTTTGCACACTCTCCCAAACTCGTCCACTAACCTTTGCAACTTTTCTTTAGCATCTCCCATAAGCACAGTATCATCAGCAAAAAGTAACTGTGTCAATTCTCATTTGGTATTTGATTCCCCATAATTTAATCCCACTCCTCTCCCCAACACCCTAGCATTCATTTCTTTTACAATCCCATCTATAAATACAGTGGACCCCTGGTTTACGATATTATTTCATGCCAGAAGTATGTTCAGGTGCCAGTACTGAACGAATCTGTTCCCATAAGGAATATTGTGAATTAGATTAGTCCATTTCAGACCCCCAAACATACACGTACAAATGCACTTACATAAATACACTTACATAATTGGTCGCATTGGGAGGTGATCGTAAAGCAGGGGTCCACTGTATATTAAACAACCATGGTGACATTACACATCCCTGTCTAAGACCTACTTTTACCAGGAAGTAGTCTCCCTCTTTTCTACACACCCTAACCTGAGCCTCACTATCCTCATAAAAACTCTTTACAGCATTTAATAACTTACTACCTATTATAGTATTAATATGATGCATTAACCACATGCTAAGACAAAACTAAGAAACAAAAACTGTTAAATTCAGCTATGTCAATGGTAGAACATTATACACCACGCAATTTCAATCACATTAATACATCTAATAAATGGCACTCATTACTATTTTCTTGTTATAGTACATCAACTCTGTGGTAAACCTGTACTCCTACCTGAGAATAGTAATGCGAGAATGTCGACTCCTGCTCAGATTACATTCATCTAGATAACTGACACAGATTTCATCACCAGCTGAGATGTCTTTCACTGCTGTCATCACTAAGTGGAAGTTATTGTATGGAAAAGTGGGCATGGCATTAGGATCACAACTGTGGTTACAAGAGCTCTGCAGTGGGTACAGTCCTGATGCCTCATTGTTCAGAAACCCTCCAGCCTCTGGTATTAAAAAAAAAAAAAAAAGATAGTAATGTCTCACTAGACAGTAGAGCTATACTATACTGTTAGGTAAATGGACACATAACTCAAAAAACTTTTATCAAGGCAATGTTTAGCCTTTGTGTGTGTGGGGGGGGATGGGGGGGGTTCATATCTGTCCTAAGCTCTCTGGGAGTTAGCGTGGGGTGTTACCAAGCACCATGGCTTGTAGTGTTTTAGAATCTCAGGTTCAGGTGTTGAAGGAGGAGGTTCTACTTCTTCAGGAGGAAAATAGGAGGCTGAAGCTTTGCCTAGATGAGGTTGGGAGTGAGTGTGAGAAGGATTTAGCTGATAAGGAGGAAATGGTCACCAAGTAAGAGTGGCAGCCGCTTTATGTGGCAAGTGGTTCACAGTTCAGGAAGAAGATAAGGAGGGTTAACAGAGAAGATGTGAAGGTAGGAAATCGATTCTCTGTTAGTGAGGTTGAAGGTACCACTGATTCCCCTGCTAATCAAGGTAAGAATATTTTAATTGTAGGAGATTCTCAGGTAAAACATATGGACTGTGCTTCTTGTAACAGAGATAGAAAGGTCAAACAGAGGGTGTGCCTTCCAGGAGCTGGTGTTGGTGACATAGTCAGCAGGTTGGATAATATTATGTCAGGTAATGGGAACAAACCCATTATCTGTCTTAGTGCTGGGGGTAATGACATTGGGATGGGCAAGAGACAGGAGCTGCTGGATAAGTACAGGTCAGCCATAGTAGTAGTCAGGTCCAAGGGAGGGATCCCAGTCATATGTAGCATCTTGCCTAGAAACGGAGTGGGCAATGAATGGATGTCTAGGGCAACTGGTATAAATTGCTGGCTAGACAGGTACTGCAAGGAACTTGCAATCCCATTCATTGATAACTGGGACATATTCTATGGCAAACATGATATGTATGCAAGGAATGGATTTCATCTCTCTGGGGCTGGAGTGGTTGCTTTAGTCAATTCAATTGAGAGGGTAACTGATGACTTGTCCAGGAATTTAAAATGACAGATTATAGAGGTATGGTGTTTGTGGGAAACAATCAGGCTGCAGTATTAGGGTTAAAAACAGCAGATATTACCGGGATACCTCAGGGATATGTTTAAAAGACAATATTCAAAATAAAGTTGCTAGTAAAGGCAAATCAATTGATCAACAAACAAAGAGAGATAGTAGAGGGCAACAAGTGACTAGCTCCCTTAAGGTTTACTATACAAATAGTAGGAGTCTAAGAAATAAGATAGACAAGCTAAGATTACTTGCCAGTGCAGGTAATATAGATATTATTGGTATAACAGAGACCCGGTTCAACCTGAAAGACAGAGAAACGCCTTCTGAATGCAACATACAGGGTTATAAACTATTCCACACTGATAGAGTCAACAGGAAGGGTGGTGGAGTGGCGATGTATGTCAGAGATAATTTAAATTGTTGCCTTAAGACATAAGATTAGAAACATCGAACACAGAATCTGTTTGGCTACAGTTTCTCGAAGGTTATGACAAATTAATTTTGGGTGTGATTTTTAGGCCTCCAAACCTTGATAGGGAGTGCAGTAAGCTGTTATGGGACGAAATTCATAAGGCATCTAGATATGAAAATGTTGTGTTAATGGGAGATTTTAACTTTAGACAAATTGATTGAAACAATATGAGAGGAAATCTTGAGTCTAGTGACTTTCTTGATGCAGTTCAGGATTGCTTTTTAGTACAGTTTGTGACAGAACCAACTAGAGGAAACAATCTGCTTGACTCGGTTCTTGCCAACAAAGAATCACTAATTAACCCTTTGAGGGTTTTGGTCATACTAGTACGTCTTACGCATAGGGGTTTTTGACGTACATACGCATAAAATTCTAGCGCCTCAAATTTAGTGGAGAAAGCTGATGGGCCTCATATGAAAGAATGGGTCTAATGGGTCAGTGTGCACAGTCTAAAAGAAAATCGCTGCATCACACATGCATAATGAGAAAAAAAAAATCTCGAAACCTTTTTTCGGAATAAATCAAACTTGCAGTGTATTTCCTATGGTATTTAATTGTTGTATTCTAGTTTTCTGGCTCATTTTAAAATGGAAGACTATTTACGAAATGAGAGGATTGGGACTGTTTTAACAATAAAGGTGCCTAAGAAAAATTGAACAAAAGTAGCAGAAATGTTCAAAATTTATCAAACTTCAAAAGTAAACAAATCGTGCCAAGCGTGCAAACACATCATTGATGGAGTCTAATATCTTGTCACAAGTGCCCAAATAATATTTATACCATTTTTATCACTAATGCAGTAGTCTGCATAACAGTAAATCTTATATTTTTGTGAAATAAAATTTCAAAGTGGAAAGCAAAAACTAAAAGAGGCCTTGAAGACTGACTATGACATAAGGAAATGTCATTTTAGTGCCAGGAATGTCTTCTTGTTTATTCTGGACCCTATTTGGAAATTGGCATCTTTTGAAATTTGTGTGAAATTGGCAAAATTGCTAAATTCTGACCACTGTACTGGGTAGTTGAATTTCATAAATGGGTGGGTTTTTTGCACCCATTCGATAGAAAAAATGGAGTTCTAGCGAAATATTCATGTTTTTTTGTCGATAGTACAGTGAAATTGGCCGAAAATGGGGCTCAAAGTGGGCAAAATCGCCGATGCGTAAACATCGCCGAGACCGCTAACTTTGCGAGAGCATAATTCCGTAAGTTTTCTATCAAATTTCAAACTTTAGGTGTCTTTATGATCGGGAAAGATTCTCTATCTTTTCATAAGAGAAAATAATTTTTTTTTTTTTTTTAAATTTGGCCGACCCTGAGAACGAGTTTCGGAGTGGGCCTGTCGACCCTCAAAGGGTTAATAATCTTGAGGTTAATGATGAGCTTGGGGAAAGCAATCACTTAGTTTCAATATATTATGGAATTACCCAGATAACTGCAATTAAGTCTCTGTCCCAGACTTTTGCTTGGCCAATTTCATGGGACTGAGAAATTACCTGGGTGGGCTAAATTGGGATGACCTGGCTATGGGTCAGGTAGGTGGTGCTGGTTGCCAATATGACATTTTTCAGAGCATAGTTCTAGCTGCCCAGACAACTTTTGTTCCAAGTAGGGAAATTAGATCTAATAAAAATGATCCCAAATGGATGAACAATAGATTAAAACATCTCAATGGTCAAAAGAGAGGCATATTTTGGCAAATCAAAAGAGGGGATGGGCAGTTACGAAAACAATATATTCAATTAAAGAGAGAAATAAAACAAAAAGGAATAAGAAAAGCAAAAAGGGATTATGAGGCTAAGGCCGCAAGGGATTCGAAGACTAACCCAAAAGGGTTCTTTCAGGTATACGGAAGTAAGATTAGGGACAAGATAGGCCCACTTAAGAATAACTCTGGTCAGATCACTGACAGTGATAAGGATGCGATGTGAAATTTTCAATACCTACTTCCTCTCAGTTTTTACCCAGGAAAATACTAGCGAAATTCCTGAAATAATAGATTATGTACAACAGGACGATAATAAACTATGCACAATTGCGGTAATTAGTGACATGGTCCTCAGACAAATAAAGAAATTAAAACCCAACAAATCCCCAGGTCCTGATGAACTGTTTGCAAGGGTGTTAAAGGAAAGTAAAGAAGGAACTTAGCATACCTTTGGCTAATCTTTTCAACGTATCACTACAAACTGGCATAGTGCCTGATAAGTGGAAAATGGCAAATGTAATACCTATTTACAAGGCAGGTGACAGGTCCTTAGCTTCAAACTATACACCAATAAGCCTTACCTCCATAGTGGGAAAATTTATGGAATCAATAATTTCTGAAGCAGTTCGTAGCCATCTTGATAGGCATAAACTGATTAATGAATCTCAACACGGTTTTACAAAGGGGCGTTCGTGTCTTACAAATTTACTACCTTTTTTTACTAAGGTGTTTGAGGAGGTAGATCATGGTAACGAATATGATATTGTGTATATGGACTTCAGTAAGGCTTTCAATAAAGTTCCACATCAGAAGCTATTGAGGAAACTTAAGGCACACAGAATAGGAGGAGAAATTTTTTTCCTGGGTAGAAGCATGGCTGACAAATAGGCAACAGAGAGTTTGCATAAATGGGGAGAAATCAGAATGGGAGCACATCACAAGTGGTGTTCCACAGGGTCAGTGTTGGGCCCGTTGTTGTTGTTCACAATTTACATAAACGACATAGATGAGGGAATAAATAGCGACATAAGCAAATTTGCTGATGACACCAAAACAGGCCGTCCAATTCATTCTAATGAGGACACTAGAGCACTCTAGGATGATATGAATAGACTGATGCAATGGTTGGAGAAGTGGCAGATGCAGTTTAATATAGACAAATGCAAAGTTTTAAATGTTGGACAGGAAAATAACCATACCACATATAAACTAAATAATGTACATCTTAATACTACTGATTGCAAAAAGGATTTAGGAGTTCTGGTTAGCAGTAATCTAAAACCAGGACAACAGTGCAATAATGTTTGCAATAAAGCTAACAGAATCCTTGGCTTCATATCTAGAAGTATAAATAGCAGAAGTCCTCAGACTGTTCTTCAACTCTATATATCATTGGTTAGGCTTCATTTAGATTATGCTGCACAGTTCTGGTCACCGTATTACAGAATGGATATAAATGCAATGGAAAACGTACAGAGGAGGATGACAAAGTTGATCCCATGTATCAGAAATCTTCCCTATGAGGATAGACTGAGGGCCCTGAATCTGCACTCTCTCGAAAGGCATAGAATTAGGAGGGATATGATCAAGGTGTATAAATGGAAAACAGGAATAAATAAAGGGGATGTAAATAGTGTGCTGAAAATTTCCAGCCAAGACAGGACTTGCAGCAATGGTTTCAAGTTGGAAAAATTCAGATTCAGGAAGGATATAGGAAAGCAATGGTTTGGTAATAGACTTGTGGATAAGTGGAACAAACTCCTGAGTACAGTTATAGAGGCTAAAACGTTGTGTAATTTTAAAAATAGGTTAGATAAATACATGAGTGGGTGTGGGTGGGTGTGAGTTGGACCTGACTAGCTTGTGCTACTAGGTCTGATGCTGTGCTCCTTCCTTAAGTGGAAGTGACCTGACTAGGTGGGTCATTGGGCTAATCTGGGGGGCAGGGGGTAATGGACCTGCTTTGCATGGACCAGTAGGCATCCTGCAGTGTTCCTTCTTTCTTATGTTCTTATATATCAACATGACTTCACTCTACAACAGATTCATATTTTAAAAATGTGTTTACAATAAAAATACATTTTATACCATAGTATGAAAGTAATTAATGGATACTTTCATCTGCATTTCTTGAATGTATACACATATCATTAGTACTATATAACACTTGTGTTCAAAATATGGTACTATCTATCAGGATTTAACACCTTCAAACAAAACATTACGGTTTGATCTACCTAGTTACAACACTTTAGTGCAAAATCAATAAATGCCTCACCTTTTTCCAATTGGACATACATGTCATCAACTATTTGGTCTAACTTCTCTCTCTCTGCAGCAGAAATTTCCAGAGCATCACAATTACGCACCCATCGGCTCAAAGGACTAGTGCCAATACCTTGTCCATTTGTACCCACTAATGCAACAAGAGATCTGAAGCCTTCTGGTGTTAACCACTAGAACAAAAATTGTACAATTACAGATTAGTAAAAAATAGGTTCAAAAGTTTGTAATATTATGACATATCAAATGTAGCACTACAATTAATGTACACATTTCTTGAATTATATACTACACAATCTGTTACAGAATATATCTTTTCTGATCTAATTTATGATGATATTTGATAAAAGCAGAGAAAATATAAAATAAGTTTCTGACTTCTGTATCCTAAAAGTTAATCATACAAGAAGAGTCCGCAAACCAGGGTACAAAATAAATGATCAAGTAGAATAATTCTGCCTGAATAATATGAAATTACCCCTTTATACAATCAATCATACCATCTCTTTTTACCAAGAGTGATGCCAAACCATACAGTCTGTTCCAGGTATTGTATTCATTGCTTGGCATACACATTACAACAGAGAATTTCTAGGAGGAAACATCTCACTTTCATCATTCATACATTTTCAATCTCATTAATCTTCTCTACCTTTTGCATTTGTATAAGCAATTTTTTCAACTGTTAAGTGTTATGTGAATGTTTGGACACAAACAGCACAAAGCTAACAAGTGGTGATAAATACACAATTGCAGAGGAAACTGATTGAGACATTTCACCTGTGGAACATGCTTCTTCAACTGAAGCTAAAGCGAGTTTCTTTACACAGGTTGTCTATGTTCACTCATCAGTGAAATGAGTACCTGGGAGTTAATTGACTGGTGTGGGTCGCATCCTAGGACAAATCTGACCTAATTTGCCCAAAATGCTCTACATAACAAGTGGCTTTCTATATGGTACTACAGCTAGTCTTCCACTTTCATAAGTTCCACTTTCGCGAGCTTCAAACATTCCCGAATGCCCAGCTCTCGGTTTTCATGTGTTTTATGTTATCTTTTCATGTGTTTTATGACTGTTTGTGGTTCAATAGGTTAAGGAAGCAGTATTGTTAGGCTAAGTAAATGCTATTATTATATTTTTTTTTATTAACACATCGGCCAATTCCCACCAAGGCAGGTGGCCCTAAACAGAAAAACTTTCATCATTTACACCATCAATGTCTTGCCAGAGGCATGCTTACACTACAGTTATAAAACTGCAACATTAGCACCCCTCCTTCAGAGTGCAGACACTGTACTTCCCATCTCCAGAACTCAAGTCCGGCCTGCCGGTTTCCCTGTACTCACACTGCAACAGCACGTCAAGTATTAAAAACCATTTGTCTCCATTCAATATATTTGGGCATCAAAACATTCGCGAACGCTACAGTACAGTATTATTATATTTCCCTACACCATATTTGCGCACCAAACATTCGCGAATCTTGAAAATTCGCGAGGTTCTTGATCCCCTAACCCTCGCGAATGTGGAGGGCCTCCTGTATGTCATTGATGTCAGCTAAGCCTGTATACCATGTACATGTACTTGTAATAAATAAAAAAAAAAATCTCAATGAAGTTCCTCTCTGTAAAAGTGAACATTTGAGGAATTTTGAACCAATGGAGGAAATTATTATTTTTGTAAACTTTAAAGATGAAGTGGGAGACAATGATATAGACAGTGTAGAGGAAAAACTTGGAGCCCCAAGTGTAAATAACAATGCAGAATCTTTCAAATTTGGTGTGATAGGCCTGAGTCGCCTAGACATGAAAGAATGGGTCTGTGCACTCAGTGTGCGCATTATGAAAAAAATCTAGGAGCACTTAGTACCTTGTGGGAGCACCAGTTCAACTGAGCACAATCTAGAGCAAATATCGTGGTAAACGCCAAGGATTCACTGATGTCATGTCATATTAACACTCACATTTTAAGAGGAAAGTAAAAATAGGTTAGATAAATGCATGAGTGGGTGTGGGTGGGTGTGAGATGGACCTGACTAGCTTGTGCTACTAAGTCAGATGTCGTGCTCCTTCTTTCAGTGGATGTGACCTGACTAGGTGGGCCATTGGTCTAAGCCAGGGGGTGACATGGACCTGCTTTGCATGGGCCAGCAGGCCTGCCACAGTGTTCCTTCTTTCTTATGTTCTTATATATTCGGCTGGCTAGCTGGCTGGCTTTGGCTGTCTCTGTTTGTATCTGTCTATATCTCTGTTTATCTATATATCTGACTATCTATATCTCTGTCTGTCTATATCTCTGTCTATCTCTCTATCTGTCTATATCTCTGTCTATCTCTCTATCTGTCTATATCTCTGTGTATCTATATCTCTATCTGTCTATATCACTGTCTATTTGTATCTCTGTCTCTCACGTGTACTCATAAATACGATTATACATAATGTAAATTACCTAGGATAACCCCAAAATTCCAGGCCAAATGCTATACAGTGTTTGTAGATATAAGACATAAACATGACACAAGTAATAGCAGTGTCACTTGCTCAGCAATCAGGAAGCAGCCCATACACCACAAACCAACAGGTTTACTAGCCGCTCCCTGAGATAGAGACAAGCAGATGGAAAGACAGACATGAAGGCAGACAGAAAGACAGATAAGCAGAACTAGACAGATAAGCAGAGCTAGGCAGACAGACAGACAGATAGATGTACAGATGGACAGATGTACACATAGACTGACAGACAGACATACAGAGACATGTTTGTGTGCAAGAGTAAAAACATATAAAGGCTAGGTTGCCTCCTCCAGCAGTGCACATTCATCAAATGTCACTGTTATCTGACACTGCCATAACACCATTATTCAAGGAGTTCACATTACACTCCAGGCACACACAGAAGACAGAAAGATAAGCTGAACTGGACAGACAGACAGATAGACAGACATAGATGTACAGATAGACAGACAGATAGACTGACAAACAGACATACAAAGACATGTTTGTGTGCAAGAGTAAAAACATATAAAGGCAAGGTTCCCTCCAGCAAAGCACATTCATCAAATGTCACTTATGTGGCCCTCATCATAACACCATTCAAGGAGTTTCATACTCCAGCGTGTCTAAAACACTGCTGGAACCTATATATACTTTGTATATATTTCTAGACAATAGTAAATGGCCAAGGCAGGTAAAAATGTTCACCTGTCAATGTGATTGTTACAATTTGAGTACTATTTCAGAACATAATATTAGTGTCAGACCAAAGATTGGCTATGAAATCACAAGAACTATTATAAGCTGTAATTATCAGAATATAAAAATTACATAAAAATAAAAACAAGAAAGAAAGGTATATCGGCAACCCTTCTGCAAGCGGCAGGATTGGATGCTGCCGCAAGGTGAGCATCCAGAGCCAACTTCACGGTCTTATATCTCGGTAAGTACTTGGCCAAAAAAAATTTTTTTTTGGTCATACCACACAGAAAATACCTCTCTTTAATTTAAAAACAAAAAACGATTTTTTTATTTTTCAAAATGTTCGGAGCGCCACGCAGGTGAACGTAGATCTAGATTTGGACAGTTTAAGGGTTAAAGTGCAGGCATTGCACCTCCCACCTCCAGGACTCAAGTCCAGCTAACCAGTTTCCCTGAATCCCTTCACAAAATATTACCCTGCTCACACTCCAACAGCTCGTCAAGTCCCCAAAAACCATTTGTCTCCATTCACTCGTATCTAACACGCTCACGCACGCTTGTTGGAAGTCCAAGCCCCTCGCACGCAAAACCTCCTTTATCCCCTCCCTCCAACCTTTCCTAGGCCAACCCTTACCCCACCTACCTTCCACTACAGATTTAAACACTCTCGAAGTCATTCTATTTCGTTCCATCCTCTCTACATATCCAAACCATCTCAATAGACCCTCCTCAGCCCTCTGAATAACAGTTTTGGTAATCCCACAACTCCTCCTAATCACCAAACTACAGATCTTCTACATTATATTCACACCACACATTGCCCTCAGACATGACATCTCCACTGCCTCCAACCTTCTCCTCATTGCAACATTCACCACCCATGCCTCACACCCATACAAGAGCACTGGTACAACTATACTCTCATACATTCTCTTCTTCGTTTTCATGGATAAAGTTCTTTGTCTCCACAGACTCCTCAGTGCACCATTCACCTTTTACCCTTCATCAATTCTATGATTCACCTCATCTTTCATAGACCCATCTGCTGACACATCCACTCCCAAATATCTGAATACATTCACTTCGTCCATACTCTCTCCCTACAATCTGATATCCAATCATCTGTTTCCTAATTTTTTGGTTATCCTCATCACCTTATTCTTTCCTATATTCCACTTTTAATTTCCTTCTTTTACATGCCCTACCAAACTCATCAACCAAACTCTGCAACTTCTCTTCAGAATCTCCCAAAAGCACAGTGTCATCAGCAGAGAGCAACTGCGACAACTTCCACTTTGTGTTAGATTCTTTATCTTTTAACCCCCACACCTCTTGCCAACACCCGAGCATTCACTTCTCTTACAACTCCATCTACAAATATAATGAACAACCATGGTGACATTACACATCCCTGTCTAAGGCCTACTTTTACTGGGAAATAATCTACCTCTCGCCTATATACCCTAACCTGAGCTTCACTAGCCTCGTAAAGACTCTTCACTGCTTTCAATAACCTATCTCCTATTCCATATATTTACAACACCTGCCACATTGCTTCCCTATCCACCCTATCATATGCCTTTTCCAAATCCATAAATACCACAAAAACCTCTTTACCTTTATCTAAATACTGCTCACCTATATGTTTCACTGCAAACACCTGGTCTACACACCCCTACCTTTCCTAAAGCCTCCTTGTTCATCTGATATCCTGCTCTCCATCTTACTCAAAATTCTTTCAATAATAACCCTACCATACACTTTACCAGGTATACTCAACAGACTTATTCCCCTATAATTTTTACACTTTCTTTTGTCCCCTTTGCCTTCATACAAAGGAACTATACATGCTCTCTGCCAATCCATAGGTATCTTACCCTCTTCCATACATTTATGAAATAAAAACACAAACCACTTCAAAACTATATCCCCTCCTGCTTTCAACATTTCTATCTTTATCCCATCAATCCCAGCTGCT